GACACCATTGAAATTATGATTCTGTTGATTTTAACTAATCAAATGACACCTCTCTTGCCTTTCTATCATTAACTTGCCCGTGGAATTTACAGAACTATATCTTACTTTGTATTATGGAAGTGTTTGCATATGGGGCAGGAACTCTGCTTCTAAACTGCATATCAGCTGAGCTGCTTATTGCTTGCCTGCAATTGTCTTTTGCTAGTTGCTCTGGAAATAACTTGGGCTGAGAGAAGGTTGGGGGAGAGAACAGAAATGTATAACAGTATTGTGGTAATGATATAAATGATCATTAAAATTGAGAGAGCCCTCTTTCAAACCTCTACTTTTAGCTGCTCAACTCTATCTAAAACTACCTCTAGAGACGAAATCTGTTTGGCCTCTGAATTACATGCTTTAGGAAAACTTCAGGAAAATGTGTTCAATCACTCTTAACTTTATCTAAAAGTGAAAACTCTTAACTGGTTAAGAAATGTTTTGACACATATATGAACACCGGTACATTTGGGAATATGTTTTGACTTGTTGGAAGAAATTTGTTTTGAACAGAACATAGGTGTGAGCATTTCAGAATAATGTACTGAATATGTATACATAGTCTGAACTGAATGAAGCATGCACTTAACTGAAAGAAGTATGATGAGTGGAGATTCTGGATACAGGCTTGTGCAATTACTTGTTGATTCCATTGTTGACAGTTGAAAGAGGTGAAAAGTGTTTTGGACCTCTAATATTTAGAAATTGAAACTCCTTTTGGTGTTGCGTAGCAAGCATTCTATAGTATCTAAAAAGATTTACTTTTTGGTCAGGATAAACACTATGTCTCAACTTCCTCTTTGCAACTATTCTCAATTTTTCAACATGCTACCTTCATCTTAAGTGATCACTCTCCTTATAGTGTGTATGATAACACCCATTTTTTTCATGTTCTTTGTGTATATAAATCTCCTCACTGTATTTTCCACTGAATGCATCCGATGAAGTGAGCTGTAGCTCACGAAAGCTTATGCTCAAATAAATTGGTTAGTCTCTAAGATGCCACAAGTACTCCTTTTCTTTTTGCGAATACAGACTAACACGGCTGCTCCTCTGAAACATGCTTTGGAGGCTTACAAAAGATGTAAAACTAATAGTGCTGTACATTCAAATGGTAACCGTTGTATAAGTATCTCATAGGTTGACTACATTGTGGGCCTGCAGGAAATTGCAAATGAAAAAACAGAAGACTACCTTAAAGATGACTTGCAAAATAAATTAGATTATGGCAGGTTTAGCTGCTTCAGGGGTACAGGTAAGCACATATATAATTAGGACTGAAAACTTCTCTCAGATTTTCTTCATGCTGTGTTTTTTTGGGGGCCTTACAAACACAGGAATATCTAGTCTTGTATTCACTTATGCACTGCCCAGAGAGTGTGGGTGGCATGCTGTGAAGCTCTTGTTATACACAACCATTTAGAATCGAACACAGAATAAAGGCAGATCTCTTACAGGCACCTTAAGCACCCGAGGGTATGTCTACACTGCAGTTAACACCCACAGCTGGCCCGTGTCAGCTGGCTCAGGCTGTAAAACTGTGGTGTAGATGTTCAGGCTGAAGCCCAGGCCCTGAGATCCTCCCCTTCATGGGGTTCCGGAGTTTGGGCTCCATCCCAAGTCCAAAGTCAGTTGACATAAGCCAGGGTGTTTAATTGCAGTGTAGACATACGTTGAGCGATCACTGAACACCGCATAGTACTTGGAGTAAAAAGGATGTAAAGTATCCTACGTGGAAGAATGGAGCAGTTAAAATCCTCACCAGAGTTGAAAGTCTTTGGAAATATGGAAAACAATGGGAGAAGGCTTAAAGAGCACTTCATTCAGTATCTGTAAGCAATGGGTGCCAAAGAAAGGAAGGCAGTCAGTAGGTAGACTTATTTCTGACAATAGCTGGTTCTGAAAGACTTAATGTGTTTAACAGTATTCAGTTAACTCAGGCACAAGAGGCTAGTTATGAAACTATTACAGAAATAAGCACTGCACTCCACGTAAAAATAAAACATATGAAAGATGTTTTTCAGAGTACAAAAATGTGAAACCACAGAATTTGTGACTGATTTAAGGCTGAAAAGCCAATCTTGCAATTTTGGGGGTCTAAGTCCCTGCTAAGAGACCATATTTTGATTGGTTTCAGAGTAACAGCCGTGTTAGTCCATATTCGCAAAAAGAAAAGGAGTACTTATGGCACCTTAGAGACTAACCAATTTATTTGAGCATAAGCTTTCGTGAGCTACAGCTCACTTCATCAGATGCATACTGTGGAAACTGCAGAAGACATTATATACACAGAGACCATGAAACAATACCTCCTCCCACCCCACTCTCCTGCTGGTAATAGCTTATCTAAAGTGATCACTCTCCTTACAATGTGTATGATAATCAAGTTGGGCCATTTCCAGCACAAATCCAGGTTTTCTCACCCTCCGCCCCCCCACACACAAACTCACTCTTCTGCTGGTAATAGCCCATCCAAAGTGACCACTCTCTTTACAATGTGTATGATAATCAAGGTGGACCATTTCCAGCACAAATCCAGGTTCTCCCCCCCCTTTTTTCCACACACAAACTCACTTCCTGTGGTAATAGCTTACCCAAAGTGACCTCCTACAATGTGATGATAATCAGCAAACCAGGTTTTCTCACCCCCCACCCCCATACACACACAAACTCACTCTCCTGCTGGTAATAGCTCATCCAAACTGACCACTCTCCTTACAATGTGTATGATAATCAAGGTGGGCCATTTCCAGCATAAATCCAAGTTTAACCAGAACGTCTGGGGGATGGGGGGTAGGAAAAAACAAAGGGAAATAGGCTACCTTGCATAATGACTTAGCCACTCCCAGTCTCTATTTAAGCCTAAATTAATAGTATCTAATTTGCAAATGAATTCCAATTCAGCAGTTTCTCGCTGGAGTCTGGATTTGAAGTTTTTTGTTTTAAGATAGTGACCTTCATGTCTGTGATTGCGTGACCAGAGAGATTGAAGTGTTCTCCGACTGGTTTATGAATGTTATAATTCTTGACATCTGATTTGTGTCCATTTATTCTTTTACATAGAGACTGTCCAGTTTGACCAATGTACATGGCAGAGGGGCATTGCTGACACATGATGACATATATCACATTGGTGGATGTGCAGGTGAACGATAGGGAGAGTGGTCACTTTGGATGAACTATTACCAGCAGGAGAGTGAGTTTGTGTGTGGGGTGGTGGTGGTGAGAAAACCTGGATTTGTGCTGGAAATGGCCCACCTTGATTATCATGCACATTGTAGGGAGAGTGGTCACTTTGGATGGGCTATTACCAGCAGGAGAGTGAGTTTTGGGGGGGGGGGGGGTGAGAAAACCTGGATTTGTGCTGGAAATGGCCCAACTTGATTATCATACACATTGTAAGGAGAGTGATCACTTTAGATAAGCTATTACCAGCAGGAGAGTGGGGTGGGAGGAGGTATTGTTTCATGGTCTCTGTGTATATAATGTCTTCTGCAGTTTCCACAGTATGCATCCGATGAAGTGAGCTGTAGCTCACGAAAGCTTATGCTCAAATAAATTGGTTAGTCTCTAAGGTGCCACAAGTACTCCTTTTCTTTTTGCATATTTTGATTGGCATCTGGAAGAAAAAACTCGGACTACTGGAAGACCCAGAACTAATCCTTGACAAAGCAATAACAATTTGCCAGGCAAAGGAAGTCACCCAGTCCAGAATAAAGTTTAGAGAGGATGGACAGTGCTCAGACACTAGACATGAGAGAGAATCCAAAATACAAAAGAGAGAGATTGAGAGAGAGGCCTGAGGCAGAAACATGCAGAGCACAAAGTCTTTTTAGCGGGGGGGAGCAAAAGGATGGGAGAATTAAAAGGGGGAGAGAGATTTATTTCCCACCAAAGAAAAACAAGTTTTGAAATCTCTTGTTTAGAAATTGTCTTAAAGAAAAAAAAGACAACTATGGAAGTCTTGTGAAAACTTTTTTTTTTTTTGTCATAAAGCCATTTTATTTTAATCCAACTTCTTGATTTCTTTTAATCCAACTTCTTGATTAACAGACTCAACCAATGTTAGTCGCAACTCAACAAGTTTACAAAGCATTATTGGTTTGGAGTCTGCATCTAGGGAAGGATCCTATTTTGGTTCCTGCAGAACCTGTTTCTGAATCAGAGGAGCCCAAACCCTTCTAACCTCTAGTTAGTTTGTTTCTTTTGGGATGTCTCTTATTTGAATTGGAAAATGTTTGAAGTCACTTTTTTTCAGGAAGAACCTTCAGTCTGTTGAAGTGTTAAGCATGATTCTTTTGGATTTATCCTTTCCCTATTTAATATATATTGTTGGCATTGGCCTAGGTTATGCTGGCAGATTCAGTATTAATGTTACCCCTTTTGTTTTGGAACATCTTCAAGATATTTACTATCTGGGCAGGATTCTCACTCCTGGAGAGTATTTTTAGAGGAAATTTATTTTGTAACTAGCTGGAATCTTAGTATAAAGATTCTTTATCTGAAGATACTATCCCTGGGAGGATTATCATTCACGCACCTCTCTTTAGGGTTTTGAGGAGAATCCTTTTGGGGGTGATGGTTTTCTCTACCTTCTATATGTATTAACTGGTACCTTCTTGGGTTACTAATTTTTGGGATTTGCTTATTTCCTGTGAGGAATGTTCATTTCCGCTCAACTCTGTAGTGAGTGAAAGGTTCCAAGGTGGTGATTAGTCAGGAATGAAATGGCCATCCATGTGAGGGTGTAATTTGTGCCCCAACCCACTACTGCTGCCATTGGGGCAGGAGAGGGATGGGGGAGGCACAAAAAATAGCAGTGGTACTCTTTCAAATGTTGCCTGAAAACTAAGCTCCACCCACTAGGAACTGAACTTGGATCCTAGCCCATTTCACACAAGTCGCCAACAGCCATCAGTTAGAAGCAATTTTTCCTAACTACCAACTTGTGCTTGATTTGACAGGTGACTCCAGGAGTGAAAGATGGATTTGTAATACGCTACAATCTCTATTACTATACAGTGCACTGCAATCTTCAACTAATCATAGGTTAGAATGAGTCCAAATCCAAGATATCCCAACTTCATATACATCAAAGAATTGCTGCAGGACACTATTGAAGATTTTATTGTTGCAAGTTTGGGATGACCAAATTATTCAGGAGTGGCAGTCAAAATGAGTTATGTGGGTTCCTTAACAAATAGCAATTTCATAGTACTTCATTCTGTGACACCTTGTTTATATAACATATAAATTGTCTTACTCTGTTTTTGGTAATGAGTTATATATTGTCCCTGTTCTGAACAGATTAGTTACTATGTTGGTCCAATAAAAGATATTACCTCACCCACCTTGTCGTTCTAATATCCTGGGACTGACATGGCTACACCAACACTGCATACAACAATAAAAATTTTATAGGCAGCCCTGAGAATTCTGACTAAATCCTGAGTTTTAAACCAAAAGACTGAGGTAAGGACCTTTAATCCTGCTGAACTCCTTGATGGTGTTGCAAGCAAAAGAGTTTTGTGATGGGTGCAATTGACTTGTTATGACTAATTAATGGGAACAGAAAACTCAGTAGATTTCCGACAGATTTTGCCTGTGTTCTGCCACTGACAGTTACCCTGACAGGGGGTGCTATGACAGCAAGCTGCCCAGGGAAGGGAAGTGGGAGATGTCACTATGGCAACAAGCTCACATGGTGAGGTGAGAGACGTTGCCTAGCAACTGAGGCTTCAGGCAGGAGAATTCTGTAGAGAGTTTGGAAAACAACAGTTGGAGAAGTTGGGGGAGGGGAGAGGAGAGAGTAGAAAGATGGGGAGGGATAGAGAGTGTGTGATTGGAATGGAGAAAGAAGAGACAAAGGTTTGAAGGGCCTGAAGGGAAGAATGAAAGATAAGCTGAGGATGGAGAGAAGAAATGAGATTCCATAAGTAAATAACAGGAAAGCAAGCACTCTTATGTAACATTCACATAATGCAGTGGGGTGATGGCTCTTTCGAGAAGGTTATCAGAGTATTTCAATTATACAGTGAATTTTTCATAAAGGCCTGTTTTAAGAGACTTGGTCAGAGCATGATGTTGTGGAAAGAGGTTACAGAAAATCTTTTCCCCCCAGAAAAAGATATTTGGGGAGAGGGGCTAGGGAGAGAGGATCATTGCACCATGATCATAATTTGCTCACAGTTACTTACCTACATTAAATTATTGGGGCATTATGTTCTCTTTTAAATAGCACAAGACAAAAATTATTTCACTAAAGCAGGTGGTCTATATTTAACAAAGTCAGGGAGACCCATGTGTAAATCTGGGCACAGCCTTTTGACTTTAGGTGACTGTGAGAAATTTCAGAAGGATCTAACAAAGGTAGGCAAATGGGTAACATGATGGCAGATGAAATTCATTGTTAAATGCAAGGCAGTGCACAGTGGAAGGAATGACTAGAATTACGTGTACGTACTGATGGATTCTAAATTAACTAATCACTCAGGAAAAAGACTTGGGTATCATTATGGACAGGTGAATGTAAGTCTCTACTCAGTGTGCAACAGCAGTCAAAAAAAAGCAAAAAACATAATGCTCATATATATAAAAATGGAATAAGAAATAATACTGACAGTAATATAATGCCTCTATATCAATGATATGCCCTCAAATGAAATACGGTGCTCAAATCTGGTCATCCTGTCTCAAAAAGATATACTAGTATCACAAATAGGAATCCAGAGCTGGGTGGTGAAGTTGGTTAGAGGCCCGGATAGGTTTCCATGTGAGGAGAGAATGAAAGATCTGGGACTGTTTAGTTCAGAGGGAAGATGAGTTACAGGGAATATAAAAAGAAAAGGAGTACTTGTGGCACCTTAAAGACTAACAAATTTATTTGAGCATAAGCTTTCGTAAGCTACAGCTCACTTCATCGGATGCATCCAATGAAGTGAGCTGTAGCTCACGAAAGCTTATGCTCAAATAAATTTGTTAGTCTCTAAGGTACCACAAATACTCCTTTTCTTTTTGCGAATACAGACTAACACAGCTGCTACTCTGAAACCAGGAAATATAAAAACAGTTAAAAAAACCTGAACTGAACAGAGAAGGTAAATTGACTGCTCCTATTTACCCTTGTTATACAACAACAACAAAGGCACAATCAGCGAAAACTGAAAGGCATCATATTTAAAAACATACAGCCTTTACATAATACATAACTAACCTGTAAATTTCATTGCTACAAGACATCATTAAGGCCAAGAGCTTAGGAGGATTTTTTAAAAAAAGGATTTGACTTTTATGTGGATAGAAAGAATATATTCACAGATGCATAGGATAACATATTTACAAGAGAAAAGGAGTACTTGTGGCACCTTAGAGACTAACCAATTTATTTGAGCATAAGCTTTCGTGAGCCACAGCTCACTTCATCGGCAATGAAGTGAGCTGTGGCTCACGAAAGCTTATGCTCAAATAAATTGGTTAGTCTCTAAGGTGCCACAAGTACTCCTTTTCTTTTTGCGAATACAGACTAACACGGCTGTTACTCTGAAACCTATATTTACAAGAGAGAAGCCTCATGTGTCAGTGTTTCATAGCCTGGATAAACAATCTTTCAGTCTCCAGATTAGAGGACTCTTCTGTTTGTGGTAAATCCAAATTGCCTATTGACAAAGCAAAGGTTTATTGTACATTCTGATCAGAGGAAAGCTGGAGATTGACAACTAAATTTCAAAATATTAAACGTTTCAAGTGAATAGTTCCAAATGTGTGTGTACTGCTCTAATCATTATTTAATTGCAAAACAGAACCAACATTAACTATGGAGTTGTGACCAGCCCCTCAATAAATATTTTATAGCATCAAAAATGTTCTGTGTATCTCACAGGATAAATTAGAAGGCATAGTATGCCTTGAAAAGTTAAAATCTAAAACCTTGATCTGCAGTTTTCACTGGATGGGGAGACCCATATGCCCATACAAAGTCCCATTTAAGGCAATATGGCTCTGCATAGGCACAGGATCTGTCTGCATAGGTAAGATGGCAAGATCAGAGCCTATTTTCAGACTTGATACAACAACAGAGGGAAGAGGAAAATGGACAAGGAGAATGCTATGAAACTACACAGTTACCATTGCATGGTGAAGCAAAGAAAGTTTATTATAACTAGAATGATTAAATGGCTCTGACTCATTCCTTATAGCAATCAGAACATAAGTGGGTCTTGAGGATGAATGTGAATGTAAGTATAATGGCATAGCATACCACATTTATCTGAAAAATATGTTTAAAAAATGTGTTTGGTTAACCAACTTATGAACACTTGAAATGCACTATTATATGTGCAGTAGAAAATGTCCTTGTTTGTGAACTTTGGTGAGAACATACCAACTTTAAAACTTCTTAAATTAAATGCTACTTCATGCATCTCTTGAGGTAATTCTCAATTATTGGTAAAAAACAAGCCAAGTTTGAGGTTTGTATTTTCATTACCATGAAAGTGTGTGATGCAAGGGGAATCCTCAATAGCCCTGCTTATGGTCCCAAATGGCAAACTGGACTCCTGGTACTAGCCTACTCCACAGGCACAAGGTTTGCCATACGGGAGGTACTACCACTGCCATTTTAATATTCAGTTTACAGTGATGTCTACACTTGAGGCCTTACAGCATCACAGCTGTACCCATGCAGCTGCGCTGCTGTAAGATCTCCCATGTGGCCGCTCTATGCTGACGGGAGAGAGCTCTCCCGTTGACCAAATTAAACCACTCCCGATGAGCAGCAGTGGCTATGTCAGGAGGAGAGCGTCTCCCGCCAACATAGCACTGTCCACACCAGGGCTTCTGTCGGTGTAACTTATGTTGGTCAGGGATGTGTTTTTTTTTCACACCCCTGAGCAACGTAAGTTTTACCGACCAAAGTGATTAGTCACACAATATCTAGCAACATCAGTGCTGCAGCAAGAGAGGCTGCTGTAAGTTTCCTTGGTTTGGTCTACACTTGAAACTTATGTCAGTATAACTATGGAAAATCCACACATCTGAGCAATGTAGTTATAACAACCAAACCCCTCAGACGCTGCTATGTCAACACTTCTCCCATTAACATAGCTACTGCCTCTACCCATCAGCGTAGGTAGCATCATCACTAAGCACTACAGTGGTGCTGCTACAGCACTATAAGTGTAGACAATCCCCTACCAGTAGTGGGTGTGGAATTACCTTCAGTGGAGCCAAGGAGAGCAGTAGCCAGTTCCAGACAGAGAAGATCCTTGCAAAAAATAGGTTTCTCTTACTCCAAAAAGTAAAATCCAATCCCTTCCCAAACTCTTCAGATGTCAGAATTTTACTGCAAAGAACATTATTACAAATCACTGGTGTCATAAATACCTTTTATGATGCGTGGACACATTTCATAGCATTTATGAAGTATATAATTTTATTTCTAATGTCTAGTGACATGATAAACTTCCTTGATAAATGAGACTGAAAATCAGAATCACCAGCACTCCTTGATCAAATTATGTTCTGGTATGGTACAACAAAGTGTATGCTATTTCTTATATAATATATGGAAAAGCATAATCCCATCTGTAAGCAGTTGATGTTTTTAGAAGTTATCTTCTAGTTTAAATTGAAAACATGCTTATAAAAAGTTGCAGTTCTGCATTTAATAATACTAATCAGTCATATGTAAAAAATCATTTATTTAAGCACCATATTGTATTCAATATATACAGCTTGTGCATGTGTCCTCTGTTGCCATGTAGTAATCTAGTAGGACCTCAGTGTTACAAACACCTCAGGAATAGAGGTTGTTCATAACTCTGAACGAAACATTATGGTTCTTTCAAAAGTTTACAACTGAACATTGACTTAATACTGCTTGAAACTTTACTATGCAGAAGAAAAATGCTGCTTTTAACCAATTTAAATGAAACAAGTCAAACAGTTTCCTTACCTTGTCAAAAACATTTTTTTAAAAACTTTCCCTTTATTTTTTGATAGTTTATGTTTAACACAGTACTGTATTTGCCTGTGTGTGTGTGTGCTGCTGCCTGATTCTATACTTCTGATTTCAAATTAGGTTTGTGGTTGACCGGTCAGTGCGTAACTCTGAGGTTTGTAACTCTGAGGGTCTACTGTACTAAACAACTATGCACATGGGCTTGCTTATGTGCGCAAAGTGGAAGTAAGGCACGACTATTCTGATTTGTTAGTGTATAATACCCAAAGGTAGCTAAATGACTGCATGAAGTGAAAGACAGTGGAGAACCAGGCCCATACATCTCTAGTTTTAGCTGATACTTATAGTAACATTAAAAAAAAGCTGAAAAAAATTGAA